TATATAGCTTATTAAATAAACTATAAAAAAGTTTTTTTCTATTCCAGTAAAATTTAGATTGCAAATTTAGATAATAACTTATGAATTTAATTAATATAAACAAGTTTATTTTAGTTTATTTAAATGTTGTTTGTATGAAGAAGCTTGCTATTATTCTTATTTCTGAATCTGTGGCTGCTCTTTTATATAAGTGGTTTTTTTTTAATTGATTGAGCCTCTGATCTTGTAGAGATTTATATCTATCTACCTTTTTATCTATATTTTATATATAAAAAGCCAAGCAAGTTTGTTTATATGCATGATATTGTGAAACTTAAATGGTGATTTGGAATTTTGATATATTAAAAATTTTAACATTTTTTATTTATTATTTAATTTGAAGAAATTAAATTATAAAACTTTTCATTTTCTTTATTCAATAACTAATAACCATATAAATAAATTTATTTCATTAATAAAAAACTCTTTGGTTTCGTTCTTTTGCAGTAATTAATAATCCAAATAATAAAATTTTTTGCATTAACAATAAAAATTAATTAGTTTGCAATAATTAATAACCACACTATAAATTGGTGTAACATTTTGTTATTTTATAATTTAATTATTCTCTAATTTTTTTCTGAATTTTATTTCCTTTTGAGTAGTATGTATATGAGTATTACATTTACTAAATTTGTTATGCAAATTCTTTTTTTTTTTTTTTTTTTTTTTTATAATTTAAATAATTCTCTAATTTTTCTTTCCTGAAGTTTTTATTTCTTTTGAGTGAGTATGTGTATATGAAAGTTATTACATTTTACTAAATTTGTTACTGCATAATATCTCTTCTTTTTTTTTTTTTTTTTTTGGAGTAGTGATAGAGATTAAATACCTTGCACAAATTGACTAGCCTCAATAGCTAAATGGGTTCTAGTGAATTTTTTTTTTTTTTTTTTCATTTTTTTTTTTTTTTTTTTTTTTGGATAGTGATAGAGATTAATACCTTGCACAAATGACACCTAATAGCTAATGGTTCATGAATTTTTTTTTTTTTTTTTTCATTCAAGTAATTTTTTGTGTTTGAGTAAAATGAATTGCTTCAATTTGTAAAATGATATTTACGTTCATTGTTTTTAATTTAGTTAAGAAAATAAGTTTATTATTTTTAATTTTTCATGGTAGGGTGCTTTTATTATTTTTAAATTTATAGGAAAAATGGATTAGGAGTTTTTGTTATAATAGCCAAGACTAAAAAAGGACTTCTAAAAAAAATATATAAATTTCTTTCAATTATATTAATTTATTTAACTTTTCGGTAAAACTTAATTCTTGTCAATTATTTATATATTTTTAAATTATTATTTATTTTTTATCATATTTTATGAATCTTTTAATTTATAAAAAAATAAATATATTAATAAATTAAATAAGTCAATTTTTTATAACATACAGATGAAATATGATAAATAATCAATAAAATAAATATAAAAAATTAAAAATAATATAACTCTTTCATAATAAATCATTTATAAGCATTAACTTACACAACATAAGATATACAATTAATTTTTTATTAAATTTAAATATGTCTTACCACTTAAACCAGTAATTATAAATATATCTAAAAATGAGTTACTCAACTTTAAACTTAACACTTATTACAGTAATATTAATGAAATTAAATAAAAATTCTTTTGACCAAATGAATCACCATTATAACTCATAAATGTATTTTGTCACAGACTTTTCATAGTTAATAAATTAATTTTCTTTAATTCTATAAATTTGTATAGAATATCCACAGTTTTATATTTCTTCTTTTACCCCATCGTATCTCACATTTTAAAAAAGAAGATATAAATAAAAAATAGTTAGTCAAATATTATGTATTTTATGCATTCTTGTAATTTATTATTTATGATTGCACCTCAAACTAAAACTGAAGAAATTAATTATATCTCACAAACCAATTAGAGAACCAACTAATCTTAAAAAAATATATATTAAAAAAGAAATCCACAACTAAACTTGAGTTGGGATGACTTAATTGCGTGATCCCTTAAAAGTCACAACTCACGAGTTAATAAAGAAAATCGGCGACTTTACCCCTAAAATCTAACGGAATACTATGACTTAACGGCATGATTCACTTGGAATCGCCTGTGCAGCAAGCGTGCCCATGTGAAGGAAAATTAATTTATTATTGTAAATAAAAAATGAGAATCCGAGTCGTTGGTTTGGTTTGAATTTTCTAAACTAAAGGCAATCCAAAGTCTACAAAGAAACGCGTCCAATGATATCACAGAATACTACATTTTTTTTTATTATATACCAAACGGACTGCACCTATAAATTTATGTGCCCTTTAAATTACTCATGTGGTGATTGGTTTATTATCTTTCATCTATTTACTCGCTGCGTTTCAAAATAAATATTTTGTTTTAGCTCTGCACATTGATGAAGAACGTAATTAATGGTCTAAATTTTATAAATATTAATTTATAAAATATCTATCTTACCTTTCAATTAAATTAAATAAAATTAGTTAATTAAATTACTTTTTTACTTTTCTATCCCACAATTCTCTCTATTCCATTAATAGAATATGAAAAATGCGATCACGTTGTTTAAAAGTGTTGAGAATCTGGGCCCTAGGAGCAATTAATCAAATCAAATTCAATTATTTATTTAATATTGGGCTTATAATGAGTTGGGCTTACCTTTAATCACATTCAATTATTTCACTTTAATGAGTTCGGGCTTATAATTGAGTTGGGCTACCTTAACACAAAATGACTCGTAACGACATTTTGGTATCATTCACCCTTCACATTATTTAATATTGGGCTTATAATGAGTTGGGCTTACCTTTAACACAAAATGACCTAAGCCATTTTGGTTGATTCACCCTTCACATTATATGCCCTTTTACTTATTTGTATTTATCCGATGTGGGATTACCCACATACTCCAACAAAAAGATAATTTTATAATAGAGGGAGTAATTGAGAGATAATTATATTATGAGTATAATTCTAAATAAATAAGGTTAGATTAGAAAGGAAAATTTTAATGAAGGCTTGAAATTATAAAAATAATACTTATTCAAAAAGAATAGCAAAGAATTGATATTTATTTTGGAACGGAGGAAGTATTATATGAATGGTAAATTTTCTACAATTTTTTTATGTTTATAGTTATATATTTATTCTTTTTTTGTTTTATTACTCCCATAGAATTCTCAATGAAAGGAGGAAGTATTATACGAAGGAAAGTTTTCTATAATTTTTTTATGTTTATAGTTATATATTTAGTAATTTTTTTTTTTATTACTCCCGTGGAATTCCCAATATCACCTTCATCAAAGGTAAATTTATTGTTAGCTGAAAATACTTTTTTTCAATTGTTGTTAAAATATAAAATGAAAAATAAATTTGAGCGAATTTGGGTATAGCATAATTTTCACCACACAAATCAATCCATTAAACTTGTTGAAAGTATTATGAATAATTTAATGAGACTGTACCAAACACAAAATTATTTCGGTAGCATTTAATATAAAATTGCTATTTTTATTTATATAATATATTGTATAATTAATTTGAAATAATATTTAATAGAAATATATTATTTTTAAATCATAATAAGTGAAAATGACAAAAAATATTAATTTGAAAAAAGATTAGTTATTATTTTTGTAAGGTTAATGTAATTTAAACATAATATAAATACAAATCAATAATAAGCTGATACGAAAAAATTACAAAATATAGTGGACAGAATTAGTAAGCTTCTATTAGCTATAAATTACTGATTATAATTCGTTCAAAACACCTACAATCTAATTATTGAATATGAATCAACTATTAGTTACATGAATAACTAAAAGAAATGCCCTCTAAATCTTGAACTCATCCAATCAGATAAACAATAATAAAATAAATTTATTTATTTAAGTTGAACCAATAAATTATTTATCAGAATTTGCTAAAATTTGTATCAATCAAGATATTTCTTTTCAAAATTGATTCAATAAACTATGTAACTTATTGGATAAAAAAAAAAAATCAAAATTGCTCTATGATTATAAAATAATACTATGTCCACCTCTTCATTATCGAACATTATCGCGCTTATCATGTAATAAATTCGAATTGAATTTTGTAATATTCATATCCAACCTACCAATAAAAGTAAAAATATTCATCGAATACTCGCACATTGTTACGTTTGAATTGAGTTAAAGTTCAAATCATATCAGATTAATATATATACAAAAAATAATTGAATCAAAATCGGGAAGGTCCATATCAAATTGATACATACTCAGTCATTCTATCTTTAAACAAATCGAATTTCACCTGCTCTATACTGTTTCGGGTCAAATACCTACACAAAGTGGGTAAAATAAGTATCTTTAAGCTACGGAGGTTGTTGATTCATATTTAACATTTTGAATTCAATCTAACAAACAACACCTTCATTTCAATTTAAAAAAAAAAAAAATTGAATAGGACATTTAAATCGATTAATCGATAAATTTATTTGGTATCTCATAATTTATTTGTGGGACCCCTATTCCCGAACTTTAACTTACTAGGACCACAGTAAAAAATTTCACCATTTGTCTTCGTTTTATTCTTCTATCCTTATCAATAGACATAATTTGAAATAACAGAATGTCAAAATTGAAACAAATCCATGCGATAATTGCGCATTTTGTTTTTTTTTTTTTCTTTTTTAAGTCTCACTAATTATTATTTTTCATTGTTATACGAATTCAAAGTCGTAATTTTAACTTTGAATATGATATTAATACCACTAAATCAAAAATCATCAATATGTTATAATTTTAGGATAAATTAACCCTTAGATCTTTGATATAATATAATTTTAATATTTTAAAGACTAAAAAAAATGATGTTTTTTAATATAATTTTTATTTATATTATATATAATAATTATTTTCACAAATTACGTTATCCTTGATTTTGAAATACTAACGATTTTCTTGAGGTAATTGATCATAAATAAAATAAAACTAATAAAACTTACTAACATAAATAGAATTTTACGAAACAAAAAGACAACTAAAGTACTTGCTGTGTGTTACTTTTGAAGGCGCTCCTTTGCTGACCAAACCATAATTTTCATCCATCTTCTCGCTTGTCCTTCTCCACCTTGTTCTTCTTCTGTGTCTCATCCTACGCTTTAGGTCACCGTCCTTTGCGAACCCCAGAAACAGTCCTTTTTAGGTCCGGCACCACTTGAGCACAAAAAAATCAAAAAGGTTAATACACGAACGTTCTTACTTATTCACCTGTACCACCCAAATCTCAAATTAATCTCCTCCTCTTCCATTTTCCCTTACATGGGTTTCCCGTGATTCTCTCCAAATGAAAGTTCCATTCTTTACATGGTTTCTACTGTTATCTCTTTTAACAATACTGTTTGAAATCGATGTAGCTTTGGTTTCTGGCGTATGCCAGAGCGATCAACAATCTCTGTTAGTCCAATTAAGCAAAAGTCTTTCATTCAATCAAACTAAGTCTTCGAAGCTGGTGAATTGGAATTCTAGCGCAGATTGTTGTGACTGGGCTGGTGTAACCTGTGATGAAGACGGTCTAGGTCGTGTTATTGGCTTAAACTTGAGCAACGAATCAATTTCAGGTGGACTTGACACAGCAAATGCACTTTTTAGCCTTGAATATCTGCAGCATCTAGATCTGTCTTACAACAATTTCAATACATCTTTGCCGGAGAGGTTTGCTAATCTTACAAGTGTATCTTCTTTGAATTTGTCCAACGCTGGTTTTGTGGGTCAAATTCCAGAGGCAATTTCACGCATGATATCTTTGGTATTTCTTGATTTGTCATCTAACATTTATTTTTCTGGAAATAAATCAATGAAACTTGAGAATCCAAATCTTGCAACACTCGTTCAAGGTCTAACACTGCTAAAAGAACTCCATCTGGATGGTTTAAATTTATCAGCTCAAGGGGATGAGTGGTGCCAAGCTTTATCAACTTCATTGCCTCATCTACAAGTATTGAGCTTGTCCAACTGTTTTCTTTCGGGTCCCATTCATCCTTCCCTTGCGAAGCTTCAGTCTCTCTCAATAATTCGTTTGGACAATAACAATTTGTCTGCGCCAGTTCCAGATTTTTTTGCAAATTTCTCCAATTTAAGAATCTTGCGCTTCAGTTCTTGTGATTTGCAGGGGACATTTCCTGCAAATGTATTCAAGGTATCAACATTAGAGATTCTTGACTTATCATATAACCAAGAACTTGAAGGCAACTTACCTGATAGTCTTCATAATTCCTCTCTTAAGACTCTAGTGCTCAGCAATACAAAATTTTCGGGAAGCCTGCCAGAGTCTGTTGGTGCGCTTGTGAATCTGTCAAGAATAGAGCTTGGATCTGTGCTCAGCAATACAAAATTTTCGGGAAGCCTGCCAGAGTCTGTTGGTGCGCTTGTGAATCTGTCAAGAATAGAGCTTGGATCTTGCAGTTTTACTGGAGCAATTCCAAGTTCAATGGCAAATCTTACTCAACTTATTTATCTTGACTTCTCTTCCAACATGTTCACTGGCCAAATCCCATCGTTTCAGAAGTCCAAGAATATTTTCTATGTAGACCTATCTCACAATCGACTGTCTGGTGAGATTCCATTCACTCATTGGGAAGGCCATCAGAATCTCTCTTACATTGACTTAAGGAATAATTCACTCAGTGGAAGCATCCCTTCATCTCTATTTGCAATCCCATCGCTGCAGAAGGTTCAGCTTTCCTTAAACCAACTCGGAGGACAGCTTCCTGATCTTTCAAATGTATCTCTCTCCTTGTTGGATACCCTGGATTTGAGTAGCAACAAACTGGAAGGTCTGATTCCCAATCGTTTCTTTGACCTCAAAAGACTCAATGTTCTCTTACTTTCGTCCAACAAGTTCAATGGCACTATACAGCTAGACAGGATTCAGAAGCTCAGTAATCTCACTAGGCTTGATCTTTCATACAACTACGTGACAGTAGAAAGTGCTGCCAGTTCTAGCTTGTCCTCATATCCCCAGCTCAACACATTAAAATTAGCTTCTTGCAATCTCAGTAAGTTTCCTGATCTAAGCAACCAATCAAAATTGATCATGTTAGACTTGTCAGAAAACCAAATTACTGGGTTAGTACCTAGATGGATTTGGAAGGTTGGTAATGGTTCTCCCGTCTATCTGAATCTTTCACATAATCACTTGGATGGTCTAGAACGACCTTACTCTATTCCCAGCCTTGCTGTCCTGGACCTACATAGCAATCGGCTCAAAGGGAGGATCCCAAATCCTCCACCATTTGTTACATATGTGGATTACTCAAACAATAAATTTGCTTCTGTCATACCAGATGATATAGGTAAGAACCTCCTTGTGGCTATTTTTTTCTCCCTTTCAAACAATCGCCTTACTGGTGTTATACCCAAGTCGATATGCAATGCTACCAGTCTTCAAGTTCTTGACTTGTCCAATAATGATTTAAATGGTGAACTACCAGCTTGTTTAATTGAGAGGAGTGAGAATCTTGGTGTTCTGAACTTAAGGAGAAACAGGTTCAATAGCAGTATTCCTAACAATTTCCCAAGAAATTGCAAACTGAAAACTCTAGATGTGAGTGGAAATCTATTGGAGGGCCCGGTACCACAATCTCTGATCAATTGCGCCATATTAGAGGTTTTAGATCTTGGAAGTAATAAAATCAATGATGGTTTCCCATGCCTTTTGAGAAACATTTCCAGTTTGCGAGCGCTTGTTCTGCGAAATAACGCATTTCAGGGGAGCCTACACTGTCCACAGAAAGCTGTCAAATGGTCAAAGCTTCAGATTGTTGACATAGCCTCCAACAAATTTAGTGGTCCACTACCAAATACTGTCTTAACAAAATGGAAGGCAATGATGCAAGATGGAAATGAAACCCATGACCACCTCAAATTCGAGGTCCTACGGCTTGATCATCTATATTACCAAGATTCAATAACAGTCACCAGCAAAGGCCTTGAAATGAACCTGGTGAAGATCCTTACAGTCTTCACATGCATTGATGTCTCCAACAACAAATTTGAAGGGAGAATACCAGAAAAATTAGGACAACTCAATGCACTTTACGTTCTCAACTTGTCACGCAATGCTCTTGAAGGCCAAATCCCTCCATCTTTAGGGAACATCTCACATCTTGAGTCTCTAGACCTTTCAGATAACAACCTTACTGGAGTCATTCCTGAGCAGCTTGCGAACCTTAATTTTCTTTCAGTTCTGAACCTCTCACACAACATGTTATTTGGAAAAATCCCTCGAAGTACTCAGCTCCAAACATTTTCAGAAGATTCTTTTGCAGATAATGCAGGATTATGTGGCGCTCCTTTGTCCGACAATTGCTCAGATACTAATGCATCACCAACTGAGCAGCAAAAGAATCCAAGAAATGAATTTGATTGGCAGTTCATAGTCCCTGGAATAGGGTTTGGACTGGGAGCTGGAGCTGTTGTTGCGCCCTTAATGTTCTCAAAGAAATTAAATAAATGTTATGATAGACAGATAGATAAAATTCTTAAGGTGCTTCTTCCAATGTTGGGGTTGATTTACTATGCAAGTGATGACTGGAGGATTGCACCTGAAGAAACTTTTGAGGAAGATGCGACTGATGATGATGACGATGATGAAGAGGAATATGATTTTGGAGGAAGGTACTGTGTGTTCTGTACAAAACTTGATATCACAAGGAAGCGGGCCATTCATGATCCGAAATGTACTTGTCATCATTCATCCCCTATATCTTTTACTTCTTCTTCTTCCCTCTCTTCTTCTGCTTCTTCATAGGTACATAATTCAGTAAGGTAGGAGAGCAAAGGTGTGTCTTTTTTTGTTTTTCCCGCTTCTTTTCTTGAAGGTTCTTTTTTCTTGTTCTGTAATTTGTAAATAATACAAAAAGCATCAACCCTAAAATAGGGGTGATAAGAACAATTGCAATTCTTGTTGTCTTGGTTCCACAAGCCGCTTTGTTAGCTTGGCTCTTTGAGGAATTTCATCAAATAGTTTGTGATATCATTTTCTATACCTCAGGGCTAATTCAACGCAGTCCAAGATGAATTAGAATTTTCGATCTCTTGAGGGGCAATTCAACAACAGTAAAAAGTAAAAACCTGATTCTGTCAAAGACAATCACCATCGCAACCAACCTTCTTTCTTTCTTAATTGTCTCAGTTTTACACTTCCACGATCCAAAGCTGCCTAACGTCTTAAAATTGAAGCGACCTAAGATCTTCCATTTCTGATATTCTTAATATGCATACTCCTCTTAATCATAGCCGCTATCTGGGGATTCCAATAAAAAAAGAGGTTTTTAGCTTTATTCGGGATCGAATGTGGAAGAGAATTAATAGCTGGAGTGATCGTTTTCCGTCGAAAGCTGGTAAGGAGATCCTTATTAAGTGTGTAGCCCAGTCTATTCTTACGCATAGTATGAGTGTGTTTTTAATTTCAGTTTCAACTTGTACGGAGTTGGAACAAATGCTTAATTCCTTTTGGTGGGGCTCTAAGCAGGATGAACGAAGAAATATTCATTGGCTGGCATGAGAGAGAATGTGTAGTAGTAAATGGAATGGAGGTTTGGGTTTTCGTCACTTCCAAAGCTTTGATTTGGCGCTCTTGGGGAAGCAAGGTCGGAGAATTCTAAACAACCAATGTACTCTTCTTTATTAGATTCTCAAAGCTAAATACTTCTCAAATGGAGACTTTTATAATGCTGTGTTAGGGCATAACCCGAGTTATACTTGGAGGAGTCTTTTGTTGGCTCAAGCGGTGCTAAAGGAAGGGCTTCGGTGGGGGACTGGGAATGGTTTGAATATCAATGTTTGGACACAACCATGGCTAATTTAATGATGTTTCTTCTTTTGTTCATTGGAATATTTTACCAGGTTTCGAAGATTGCAAAGTAGTAGATTTGATTAAATATGAGTCCAGGGTGTGGACTGCTGATTTTGTGAGGGGGCTATTTCTGCGAAATGAGGCTGCTTCAATCTTGCAGATTCCATGGAGCTTTCGAAATTTGCCGGACAGAATGATATTGCATTTCACGAAAAGATGGGTGTTATACGGTGCAATCTGCTTACTTTATCGCACTCAAACTTGCTAATTTGCTGCCTAATGGTCCTTTGGATCAGTTCTGGAATCAGTTGTGGAGGCTCAAAATTCCTCCTAAAATTCAAAACTTTGTTTGGCGGTTGTGTCGCGATATTCTGCCCTCAGAACTCAAGCTACTGCAACGTGGTGTTCCTGTTGATCCTAAATGCTTTTATTGTCATGCACGTGAGTCGACTGTACATGTCCTTTTCACCTGTCCACGATTGACAAAGTGCTGGAGAGAGTTAGATGTGTCAATTATAGATGTGTCTCAGCAGAATATTGTTTCTTGGTTCTCGCGGCAACTGCAAACCTAGGGACAGGAGCATACTAAGTTTCTGTGTGTTATTCTATGGTACCTGTGGTACCATCGTAATATTTTTCTTTGGCAAGAGGTGCAAATTGATGTTCTTTCAACAATCTCTTTTTCGGAAATCCATAATGGAATGGCAACAAGCGCAAGGTCCGCTTGCATCTCAGTCCACACCCCAGTTACAGGGGACTTTAATGTGATGGAATTCATCGGTGTTGGGCTTCATAAAGTGTAGTGTTGATGCTGCCATTTTTCCTAATTGCAAGTCTGCTGGTTATGGGGCTGTGTTCAGGGGTTCTTATGGTCAGCTTGTTTATGGTTTTAGTGGTACTTTTCATGGCATTCTGGATCCAAAGATGCTAGAAGCTCTTGGCCTTAGGGAAGTGATTTCATGGATTAAGGCCCACCATCTTGCAAATGTTACTATGGAGATTGATGCTCAAGCTATTTGTATTGAAATGAAAGGGCAACCATCTTCATTAACTGAATGGCATGTGATTATAGCAGACTGTTGAGCTTTGTAATAGCAGTGTTAATTGGGTACAGAGATCAGTGAATAGATCCGCTCACGCTTTGGCTACTGTATCCCATTCGTATGCTCGTTTTTATGTTTGGTTTCAGCTTCCTTCAAATATTGAAGCTATTTTTGTTTCTGATTTGATTTAATAACATCTTCCGTTCCTAAAAAGAAAAAAGTCTTAAAATTGAAAGACCACCCTTCTGGGCTTTTCCTTCATTGAATGTGCTTTAAACTGGAGAACAATGGGAGGCCCAAAGCCCATAATTAAATTTCAATTCATGTTTCCATCGGTAAAGCTGTGCTGGGCTTGTGGGCTTTAAACGTGTTAAAATAGAGAGGGCCATTAGTTTGAGTAATATTGAGCCTTCCGCTTATGACTATTTGATGAAGACGCTTTCACATTTGTTCAAATACGCTGTCTGCAACCTCAATCGTTGAAAGGAAAACGAGCATTTGGTACTTTATTGTAAACTAATCTTTTTACAAGTGTTTATTTTTTATTAATATAATTTAATAAATTTAAAAATTAAAAATTACTTTTATATATCAATTAAAATGATATAAATATAATTATTTGCTTAAATATCGTTTATTATTAAATGAAAAGTTTTTAATTTTTATTGTAGTAGGAACAATCTAAAATATATAAACAATCTTAATTTAAAAGTCCAGTTATATGATGTTAATCAAATTCCTTAAAGCTTACGAAAGTAATTGCATCAAATAAACACAAAAGCTAGCTTTAAAAATATGTTAGTCGTATTTATGGATAGATAAGAAAAATAAAATAAATTTCAAATGACTAATAATGATGATGGGAAAAAATGTGTCAAAACAAAAGAATTTCACATACCTAAATATGTTTTTGTTATTATGCATGCATGGATAATCTTGAAAACAAGTATCTTGTTGCACTTGTAAGGACTCAATTTAATTAATTATTAATAAATTAAAAATATTTTTAGTTAAGAACTAATTAGTTATGAAATCAACAAAAATAAACAAAAAATTAAAAATATTATTAATTCAGATTTTTTTTTTGTTCATTAGGAAAAAACATACAGTATAATGACTAGAATTTAATTAATTTAAATTTATTAAATATGAATTATACCAATATTTTTCAAGTCAGTCAATTTATTTCTCCATATTCAAACATTGATATAGACTAATTAGGTTAGCAGGTGATAACACATAAATTATATGATTGTATATCAAAGAGTGTAAATGAGTATTGTATTAGTGAATTTTATTTTGGAAATAATTATTTTAAATCAATTGACTAATTAAAAAGAAAATCTGAAATGCTGATGAAACTTGTTAATGTATATAATATGCCAGAATAGATTCTCTAGATTAATTTTTTGCTGATAATTCCTTGTTTAGTTTGATTTTATTATAATAATTAATCAATTTTAATAATTCAGCCAAAAAAAAAAATTTAACGATTATGTTAACCGTTGATGATCCATATATTTATGCTATTCTCTAGCCAATCCAACGTGCAATTGCTAAGTCGTTTGTCTATGCTATGATATTCTGTTTTTATGCCCAATTTTTGTTTTTTTGTCCAAATAAAATATTTGCATTATTGTGTTTTGGTCAAGGTTCATAATGAATCTAACTCTTGGAAGATGGCCACAATAATATTAATTAATCAGCAAAAGTATTTTTTTTAGATAAATTAATTAATTTAAATCATATAAAAGATAGGATATAGCATCTCAAGAATTAATTTAGATTTTTTTACACAGATTAATTTAGTAGTAATAATAGTAACAATACGTTTTCATATTCTTAACCCCTCCATTACAAAAGCTAATAATTACCCTTCTTCATCACTTACCAATACAACAATAATCCTTGCAGTAAGAGAGTGTAGCTAGTAATTCTTATCAAATGGGTGATGACGCATTGTCTGCTGGCCGTGAAAGAAAGAATCCGGCAATGGTAATAAAGAAGTATTCGTCGGTTGCAGTCCAGCATCAACAAGATTACCATCCAAGTTTAACGGTAATTGTTGCTGAGGAGGAATTGAAGTAATACAAGGAGGATTATTATTAAGATAAAGTAGTAGATCATCATCCATATAATTCATTATAGTTTGGTGAAGCAATATTTGAGTTTTCAAGAACTTGACATAGTTAATAGCCTCCTCTAACATGGAAACAGTATCCATTTTACTTCCACCTGGAACCAAACTCTGCAAAATCTTGAATCTATCGCTAATACGGTGTCGTCTTTCTCTAGCAGCAACACTTTGAGGATCAGTTGATAGCTTGACGCCATTGTTGCCTCTTTTGCTACCCTTTTGCTTCTTCTCTGTGGCATTATGGTTTGGAGGAAGTGAAGAGGAGGCAGATGAGCTATAATTAGGGTTTGTAGTATAAAAATAGTCCTCCATAAGGGAATTCAGAGTTAGTTTTTTCAGTGTAGATTGAAGTGTTAAGAGGGTGTATATATACTGAGAAAAAGAGGAATAGAAAGGGGGCAAGAGAGTTTTGCTACGCCTATTTGAAAAGAGTAAAAGGACGTTTGGTCACATGAGTCAGCTAATCTTTGGCGCAGGATACGGGTGTTCACAGTAGGGGCCTAGCCCACGCAAAGGTATTTACTTAGCTTTCCCTTTTCTTTGTGCCCTTGTTTGTTTGCTCTTACTTTATTTAGTAGATAGATGCTAATTCTTGAGTCTGCATGAGTGTATTTGACCCACCATAAGAGGACCCTATAGTCACACTTACATTAGAACCGATGGGGATCGGTATAAGTAAAAACAAAAAGACCAAGTTTCATAAAAATAAATAAATAAAAAAAAATCTAAGCATTGGATACTTATAATCGAAGAAAATTTCTCTAAAAGTGTTTTTTTTTTTGAGCTTGACACGGCGTAAATTTAGTTTATAGTTGTGTAAGGATATAAATTTTTTCTACATTATAGAAATAGAAACTAAATAAAAAATTCATTCTAGATAGATAAATGTATGGCAGGAATCTCATGATTATGGGTGTTATGAATATCAGAAATGGTTATGGCCCATATGGGCTATCAAAGAAACAAAACCTAGATTAGAGGGAGAGTGGAATTGTCTTTGTGAATGGTCAGGTAGGTACATGAATGAAGAGAGAAGAAAAAGTGGAACGGGGAGAGGGGAGGAGGGTCCTGCCTCTGAAATCGAAGTGAATATAGAGATTGTCAAAATCTCCGACAAGGACCAAATCCGTTGCTGGGCTTTTCTAGTGTACGAAGGATGCAAAAATTTTCCTGAGGTTAGACACTGTTTGGTGAAAGAGTAACTGTTGGTGTCCCCTTCATTACTAATCTTTGTGAAGCAAAGAAAAGAGGTTAAAGTCTTATCAGCAGCTCTTCTTTTCAAGTGATGTCTTAAGCAAATTTTGAGATTCAAGCTAATTAAAGATGAATCTTTACCTCTTTAAAAGCATCATTGGGATCCCACCATTTTAATACCAACTTATTCTTCTCCTGTTTAGGAATCCCGCCTCAATTTTCCCATCCTATTTGCTTGGAAATAGCTTTCTCCTTCTCTTGTAATTGCTAGATTCCATATATATTTTTAATTAATATTCAAATACAATTTTATTATATTTATTTGGTTAAATTTCAATTGGAAATATCAACTTATAATCTCTTTCAAAAAAAAAAAACTTATAATCTCATAACCTGAAAATTAATTTTAAAATAAATTCAATTAACAAAATCAGCTTACTTTTCAACTGGTTGTGTAGTGTGATTCCTGGTTCCGACACTAGCAGGTAAGGAAATAGCCATATGTATAATTAAAAAATCATAAAAAATGGAATTGTCTAGATATAGTCTATGACACCTCAATATACTAAATTAATGAAAATTATTTTTTTTTATTGAAACAAGCTTATTTTTTTGACTAAAAAAAATAAAGTGTGAATAATTTTTTATAAATTTTTATTTTTATTGATTTGGTCTATAAGCAAATTTATTTTTATTGAAACAAGTTTTTTTCTATTATTCTATAAATTTAGACAAAATTACTATCATAATATTATATCGAATCATATTATGTTTCTAGCTTTTGGAGTACAAAATATAATTAAAAAAAAGTATGAAGTGACACTTACACTATATCTGGACGATAGTGAAAAATGGAAGGAAAGAAAATGATTAAAGAAAATAATAAGTTAGAATTCCTTTTTTGGGAAGGATAAGGAAAATAAATAAGTTATTTTTCTAAAATTTTCACTCCAAAATGAAGAGAAAAAAGAAAATACAATAGTGGATTAGTGTGACCCAAAATAATTTGTTTGTTCTTCTGTATTCAAACACACAAAAAAAGGAGAGAGAATTACTTCTTTTTCCAAAGTTTTTCTTTCCTTCTGATTTTTCTTCTTTATTTTCTCTCCTCTCTAAGCCAAACATAATGTTGAAGATGAACTACAAAGAAAGGTTGCATACTCATCGTGCGTCTTTCTTTGTTCCATCTATATGCAACTTGCAAGAGTGGGTCAAAAATAAAATCTAAAGCTACAGAAATGTCTTGTAGTAAAATAGATCTAACAAAATTTGCTATTCTGCCTCCACATTACATACACATGCATACCTTTTCTTTTCCTATTTTCAATATTTTTCTATTTTTAAAGTTGTTGAAGGGCCCTTATCAAGGCATAGCTCCAATTCCAAAATGATCCTTGTGTGTAGGGACGAGTTTAAGGAGACACAAAATCTTTTTAAAATTCTGAGATTTTTTTTATTTTTTAAATATTTTTGAAAAAAATAAATAGATTTTCTAGCTGTAGGAATTAAATTGTCTCAAATAATAAAAGATTTATTACAAAAACTTTTATATTTTACACCTGGTATATTTTATAAAGATATACTTTATTTTTTGGTCAAAATTAACAAATGATATTATATTTTAATTTTAAGGTGAACAATGATTTTATCCCATTCAATTTCAATAAAAATCCAAAATCAATCAATCAATGGTATGAGAAATAAAATCACAATCAACTTATAACTACCAGTCACAGTTAAAACATAGGATTAAAATTTAAACAAAAGGCCAAAATAAAAAAATAAAAAAAAGGAGACAAGCAGGGGCAAATGCACGTGGCTCCGGATTTTACGAAGGGTGGGTAACCCTAATTATGCTTACTTGCTGAACTAAATTTACCTGTCCGTTCCCTTCTCCTGTTAGTCATCAAAACCCACACACATCAGTCAAAAAAACTTGCAGGCACTGATGTGTATGTGACACTGGAAACTCGAATCATTACTATATGTATTTAACTAAACAAATCAACCCATTTTCAAGTAAATATTAAAGAAAAAGAGTTTTTGTTTATGCTTTTGACTTGACTGATTAACAAAACCATATCAAAAGAAGATAAAACTATAACGAGTCCTCTATCTAACATGTACTTACAGTGCTTGCTTGGGACACGAGCAGGTAGCCTTTTACGTTAGTATTACCCATTTTCAGACCTTAGCTGGGTCCCAATTATTATGGGGTACGTACAATGTTGGAAGAAAGGGTTTGTTTGCACTTACAACAAGATATCATCAATTTTGTGTTAAGTCAAGTTCTGTACTCTAAACTCGACGTCTTTTTTATTTATTATATACGATTTTTTACTTTATGTTTTGAATCTTTTAACTGTTTGTAATGAATGTTGAATATAGATAAGTAACTGTTCGTTGCAGTTTTTGAGTAACAGAAACGTTACGAAATGTCACGGACTGTTAGTTCTTTTTCTTATTTATGGCCTGTCCACTTTTGTTGTTTTGCTGATGTAAAAACGTTAACATTTGCCGGCTGTTCAACCGGTATTTTGCTTTTCTCCGGTATTTATGAAAATGAAAATGATTGGAAGTGCGCACTGCGGATTGCATCTTAAACGGATTATATTGCTTTTAAGATACTAAAAATAAAAACTTTTGATCTCTTAAATTTTTTTAAGGATGGACTAAAAGTTGCTTGATTTGACAAAAAATATTATTTATGTAATAGAAAGAGAAGCTAAAACAAAAATCAAGGATTAAAAAATTTAAAAAGTAAAGTGCAATTTGACAATTCACTTTATAAAAAAAAAAAAAAAGCAAAAGTTAATTAGGAGTACATTTCGACTACTTTGATTCTCCTCCATTTCCATTCAAACTTTGATTTGAGAATTAACGATCCAAAAAATGAAGGATATATGTAGTTTTTTCAATTATAGCAATTTATTTTAAAAATATTAATAGTGTCCATAAATTTTAATTAAAAAAATTATTTTCTTTCTTTTGTTTTTTTGGCAAAGGAGGAGAAGAGAACCCCAAAGAACGGAATTACTAACTACAATGCATTTTTTCCTGACGAAGCTATACCTTGGCTATCCCATGTCAACAAATCAGAGAAGACTGGAGGAGATTTATCAAGAGCATATGACAGCCCAAATCACTAGTAACAACAACATTTATAAGTTTATTCGCAACTTGATTGCCCTCTCTATAACAGTGCTGAAATCCAACCATCCAAGACCGTTGTAAACTTATTCATAATATTTTGTAATTGTGGTGAAAGTTTAAGAAGTAAATTGTATAAAAAGTTAATTTTTGGACAAATTATGATTTGTGTCCAAATTCAGGGGACAAATTGAATTTTATTCTTTTTTTTTCACGATTATTTCTACATTATTTTGGATATAACACTAATCTCGTTTGAATTTCTAATTTTACTGATATTGTCCGCTTGATCTAAAATCTATTTAATTGAGCTGCTCCTTATGGTAAACTAAAATTCAGTTTGAAAAAATAAACTTTCTTTTGTTCCTTTTACCGACCAATCAAATTGTTACCGTTTGATGATGACGATGGTTACCGTCTTTAATGCCTTGCACTTAGACATGTTCGCGGGCTGGGCCACAAATTTCAATTTATAAAGAAAAATACGGGTTGAGTGGACCAAATTCAGCGGCAATCCATTGTTGACTGTCCAGGCCCAACAGGAATCTACTCTTTTGCATTACGCTTCTGGGCTATTAAGCCCATCAGTGACTCCGGCAAAAATGAAAAAAAAAAAACTATGCCCCGACTATCCAGAATCCTCTTCGATTTTCCACGTGTCCTTCCACGTATCAAAATCCTTAAGCCCTTGTACGTTCTTTGGACAGCACGAAACTTCTTTGCCCACGTGTCCCCATTCGGACGAAGACTCAAGAATTTCTCTACTTCGTACAAATTATAAACAAGCTTTGTTCCGAACAAGAATTTAGCAGGAAAAGGAAAATCGGTGGACCCAGTCTATCTTAAGCCATGGCAGATCAGTTCAGGTTAGTTTCACCGGATATAAACCAAGAAGGAAGAATGCCAAGGAAGTACACAGGCGAAGGTCAAGGTGCTCAAAAGAATATATCGCCGCCATTAGAATGGTACAACGTACCAGAAGGAACAAAGAGCCTGGCTTTGGTGGTGCAAGACATAGATGCACCTGACCCAGATGGTCCCATTGTTCCTTGGACCCATTGGGTTGTGGTTAATATACCACCTACGTTGAATAGAATACCAGAAGGGTTTTCAGGGAAAGAAGAGGAAATAGGTGGTGAATATGCTGGAATCAAAGAAGGAAATAATGACTGGAAAGTTCCAGGTTGGCGCGGCCCCAAGCTTCCTAATCATGGACATAGGTTTGAGTTCAAGCTTTTTGCCTTGGATGAGGAATTGAATCTGGGAAATAAGGTACGTGTTATGTAATTACTGTTATGCTATCAGTGTTGTGTTTTGTGTGTGTACCTGTATATATGTCTATATGTATGTTTTGCCCAAACCATAATGGAATGGAATATTGCAGGTAACAAAAGAGAAGCTGTTGGAAGCAATTGAAGGGCATGTTCTAGGAGAAGCAGTGCTGATGTGCAAGTTTTGAACTTTGATTGTTTCTTTTCTTTTCTTTTCTTTTCTTTTTTCTTTGTTTTTTGTTTTCTTTTTGGTATAAAGTTTTGAAGTTCGATTTGATACATCGAGTGCTGTTTGGTAAAAGTGAAGAATCAACATATGTAATGTATATTCGGTTCATGGAAATGGATTCTCTTCGTTTCATGTTGCATTATTAATCAAAAAGTTCATAATACGCGCCCGTTTTTTTTTTTTTTTTTTTGGATCATACAACGTCACCAGACAGGAACAAAGAGCGCTGGCTTTGGTGGTGCAGGACATTAGATTGCGCATACACTTGACCCAAGATCTGGGTCCCATTGTCCTACTGGATCATCGCATTTGGGTTGTGGGGCTTTTAAGAGTATACCGATGACCTACGTTGAAGTAAGCAATTACCAGAAGGCGTTTCAGGGAAAGTAGAGGAATAGGTGGGTAACGAACTACTGCTCGGAGTCCAAAGCAAGGAAATTATATGAACTGGAAAAGTCTTCCAGGTGGCGCGGCCCCCAAGTTCCTAATTCATGGAGCCATCAGGTTATTGAGTTCAAGCCTTTTTGCCTTTGGTCCTATGAGGAACTTGAATTGGGAACAATAACGGTACCGTGTTATGTATATTAACTTGTTATTCGCTTAATCAGTGTTTCCTGTGTTTTTGTGATGCACGCAACGTTGTAACCGTGTCATACTATACTTGTCAGTATGTATTTTTTCTTGCACCCAAACCATTACATGGGTAAATGGGAATGAACCTATTGGCAGCGTAAACAAAAGAGAAAGCTCGTTGAAGCAATATTGAAGGGGCCATGTTCTAGGAGCACGCCCTAGTTTGCTGATGTGGCATAGTTCATTGGGAACTATTGCATTGTTTCGTTTTCTTTTCTTTTCTTTTTCTTTTTTCTTTGGTTTTTTGTTTTCTTCTTGGTATAAATGTTTTTGACAGCTTCGATTTGATACATCGAGTCTGCTGTTTGGTTTGAAAAGTGATTAGAAGATCCAAACATTCATTGCTAATCGTATATTGTCCGGTTCATGTGAAAAAGTGGATTCTACTTCTGGGTTTTCATGTTGCATTGAGTTACATCAAAAAGTCATCACGATACGCGCCGTTTTTTTTTTTTTTTTTTTTTTTCTTTTCGACATCTTAAAATAAAAAATGAAACAAAAATTGAATTTTTGAGGATAAAATTCGGATATGCAAGTCTTGATTTCAATTTAATTTGTGATGAGAATTTTTAAAAAAATTTACATTCTTTTTGGTTTTGTTTATAATAATTTTTTTATGATAATTAGAATTTTGAAAATTACTTTTTTTTATTTAACCAATTCAAAGGAAAAGGTCTTGTATATTATATGGGAAATTTGTTTTTTTTTCTTTTTTTTTTTTTTTTTTTTCGAATTAATAAAAAATGAAAAAAAATGAATTTTGAGGATAAAATTCGATATCAAGTTGATTTCAATTTAATTTTGAATTGAGAATAAAAAAATTAACATTGTGTTTGTTTAAAATAATTTTTTTAGATATAGAATGAAAATTACTTTTTTTTATTTACAATTCAAAGGAAAAGTTTGTAATATATATGGGAAAATTTTTTTTTCCTTTATTACTACTATTATTATTATTTTCGTGCATAATGAGGACATTGACTGATTATAACAAGGCTCATCTATAAAATGATTTCAAATATGAAAATATATGATGGACATTGAATATGAATATCAGTTACAATAATAAAACATGATAAATAACTAATATATATGTACAGTGTAGGGAGAGCCAAACAATTGCGCCATGGTAGAATATGAGCTTAAATGCCACATTTAGAAAAGGGTACGTATATATTCTAATTAACAGATGGGAAAGAAAATCATAGAAGCATAAGATTTAATGCATGGTTCTAAGAATTAAGAAACATTATTCGCAGCTAATGTGCTTAAGCATCATGAATAGTTCGCTTAAGGGTACTCTGCGGATGTTAATTTGTTATAACTGAAGGTCTGCTATCCTAGCCAAATATCATGAAACTTTCGCCCATTTTTATCAATTTTGAGGGGAGGCATATTTAGTGAGACTGAGGAAAAGTGAGGAATTTACAGGAGCTGTAATGTATGTCGTAAGTATAGTGTATTTTAAAAGATTCCATCTTGCTTATTTGAGAGATTTTAAAGTTGTTTATGTATAAGTGTTTAATATTAAATTGAAAGATATTTAGTGAAGTTTATTTATTTTATTTAGTTTTTATTTTATTTGTTTTATTCATACTTTAATTTATCTCTTTTTGTACTTAAAATAAAATTGAAGTAGGCCAAATAATATCATTAACATTAATATATATATATATATGAGAATTATAGATACTGATGTTGCGCTTTTTGGAAAGTAAAACTCTCTAAAAATTGAGAATTTAATTTTAACCTCATTAGAAAAATTTGAAGATTTTGGAGATTTTGGAAAAGAAAAATGGCTCCATTAATTTTCTATAATTTTTTTGCTTTAATTAAAATAAAAAATTAATTTTTTATGATACTTTTAAACCATAATTGTATATATGTATATCATTTTTTTAGCATTTTAATTGATATATATATTTTATATCTAAGAAAAAAAACACAATACAGCCATGCGAAGTACATTAGATCCATCACGGAGAATTATTCATTGCTGACGTGACATCCTTTTCATAGAATAAATTTTCTAAAATTTGAGTATTTAGTTTTAATTTAACTAGGAAAAGCTGAAAATTTAGAGAGCTATCATTTCCTCTCTATAATTTATAAGTTTTATGGATTTTACATATAGCTCTTTAAAAATTATTTTCTTATTAATAACTTTGAAAACAACTTACTTTTAAAATAACTTACTTTTAGAAAGTATTTTCTAAGGAAAATGTTTTCTATGAAAAATATTTTCCAAATGACTTTTTTTTCCGTTATTTGGTTGTATTATTAAAAATTAGTTAAAAATATTAAAATTATTAACTCCTAAGACAATAATAATAATAGTATAAATTTCATATTTAAAAAAAAAATTATTGTTAAATATGACAATAATGCAAAAAAAAAGTAAATTATAAAAATTATTAGTGACCAGTGGTGGTAGTTGGTGGTGAGCGGAAGAGTGATAGTGGTTACCAATGATTAATAAATTAAAAAATAAATTTATAAATTTATAATAAGTTTGTTAAATTTTGAAAAATGTTTTATGCTCTTAACAATAAAAAAATCATTTTCTTTGGAAATGACTTAATTTTTCTTTAATTAGTAAAATATTTTGCATTGACTTATTTTTTTGAACACCGCAAATAACGGAAAATTATGAAAAAATATTTTCCTACAATTTATTTTATCGAAATAAATGGAGCCTTAATGTTTTCTTATGATTTAATTTCTTTTTATTTTTCTTCACATACTATTTTAAGAGTGATATTTCATTTTAATTAGAATAAAAATTTTAATTATACATAATACATTTAAATTATATTATACATGTATCATATTGTCACGACCCGATTCCATGGGCCGGACCGGCACTAGGGCCCAGGTAAGCTTAAGGCCCCCGAGGCCCGTAGTAAGCCTGAAACGGCACATAGGCCCAGGTAAGCTTTAAGGCCCCGAGGCCCGTCTAGTAGCCTGAAACACTACAAATTTGCTTATTCTCAATCTATAATTTTAAACCATTTTATATAAATTTTTCCTGCTCTAACAATTTATTATCTATATTTACTTATACAGGCTCATAATGAGCCGAAACTCCTGACTTCATCCCATCTCGCTCGCCATTACAATATAATAATTCCACAAGCCAACTTAAAGCTACTTTACAAATAGCTATACAACTGCGGAGTTCACTGACGGTAGTGTATTACATATAAGTCTGGTCGGACATTATCTTATTTAATGATCCAATACTAACAACCGTGAACGCAGCCAGAGTTATACCTGGCGATTTTTTTTTAAAAAACAAAAAAAAACACTACTTCCTGAGAAGATTTAACAAACAAAAGAAGATTGGGATTGAGTTTTATTAATGAATCGATATTCATTGGCACAACACACACATTCACACAATTTGTATAAATATAAATTAACCTAGTCATCCGACTAAGTAATATGCTCACCACAGCCAAGTTCCGCACAAATTGGCTATATTCACCCACACTACAATTAAATACATCTCTCAACTTATTCAACATCACGTGGCAAAACTTTTGGTAGCGACCGCGCCCCTGTTTCTCACTCGTTTCCGTGGCAGGTTCACTAGAAAACACTCGCATGAGCCGCTCCTTCCCCGACTCCCATGTGCATCCGACAGCCTCATCCTACTACTACATACCACATTAACAAGTGATCGCCACCGGGAACGATCCCGATTCCCCATATCTGGCACTTGGATTAGCAAGAATACCGATTATCTCCTCTGAGCCCGATCTAATCCTCAGCACCTTGACGCCAGAGCCCTGCTCATTGTGTTTTCTCCATTCTCTCTTCTTCTTTTCTCCCATTACCAACATCAGAGGCAACTCTCTCGCGATGCCGTCCGCTCTCCATCCCCAAATTCTAGAGTGTGGTCAGCACGGTCGCTGCACAACCAGGCAGGTCCAAACCTCTGACGCGGCTGACGATCAAACCCTAGCGATTCATCAGTCGGTGCGCCCAATATAAGAAGCCAACGCATGTGCTTTTTCACTATCTTCGGATACCAAATCACAGCAATCAGTAGGTTGACACTATCGGTGTAGCGGTGGGCCGAGCCCCGCGCCTCATAGCCATTTACTGCGCGGCGACGGTCAAACGTCGCTTTTCACATAGCCCCTATAGTGAACCCGACTCATCGCCCTCATTCCACAGCACCTCAATGAAAGCACAATAAACTTATCACTAACACAATTAGATCACGTTATTCGCTCAATTAAATGCCAAAGATATTAATCATTACAGACATTCATAACTGCAATGCTACACAATTAGATCCATCTAAACAATCAACATGCAAAAATAACTATAAGTAAATCAGTTGTTTACACAATATAACCAATAATTAATTTAAGAATTAAAATGAAGTGGAATACTAGACAGTGATTAATAAAATAAATCAACTTAAATTACTTTAGCAGCACTTCTATTTATTTCATGTATCGATCTAATAAGATTTATCTACAACGTAAGCATTGCGCGTTAATTATTGGTTAATGTTTCTAATTGAAATTTCGTTACGCGCCCTAGCGCATACAGGCGCGCTTCTTTGAACGCGGAAAATACCTTCCCCTATGAGCACACCAGACCCGGCCAGCACGCTCCTCCTCCAAAAACTTGGCGACTATCTCACTCTGCTTCAATAATCACAAATATTATATAATATTTATCAATTTAAGCACACACAGCCCATTCCGGGTCGAGCGAATCAAACCAGTTAAATTTCCCTTTCCTCCTTTTTAAAAAAAACAATATATTGACACTTCAACCATTAATTTTTACCAAAGCTTACAGTGATCTTTAGTTCATATTCCAAAGTATATCATCTAATTAGTCTTTGTGCCCATCTTTTATACATTAAATACGCTCCCTCTTTACGCTTATTTTCAACGCAAAATGAAAATATTTCTATACCATATGCATATTTAAACAAAGCTCACCATTCACTTAATTTGTTATTCATACTTTTCATTTAATAGTTTCTTATCGCTCTAACTACACAAATAAGCTCCTTGTTAATTCAAACCTTTGTTCATCATCATATCTTTGGCTTCGACCAAGGTATAACCCATTATTTACAACTTTTTATTAAAATTCAGTATACGTGCCTACTAAGAACCAACACAGTGTAAATTTGACACTTAATGGACTAAATCTCTAATTAGCCAAATTCACATCCACAACCCTAAAGCAAAGTTTTTCCAACTAAAACTCATAATGCTACCCTATGTCGAGTACAAAAAAAAATTAATAATTAATAAATACTATAATACCAAAAAAAAAAAAATGAACTCAATTCATTATTTTGCCAAACTCATGTCTTTTCCCTGCCCTCCTCACACAACACCAAAAACTTAAAAAGTTCCCATTGATTTAGCTTTTATATTCCTTAAATTACTATCAATTATTTAAGCAATAATATTCAGAGTTAATGACGCCTCACTTTAAATTGTGAGAATTCAAATCAACATTCAAATGGACCACTATTTAATTACTTTTTTCTCAGAAACTCAGTTCTACAACACTTAATAATACACTTCTTATCAAGATAACAGCTCATATCAATAATTAAAGTAATTGCTGCCATACCAAAATGTCTTTATCTTTCTTTATTAAGATCCATGATAAATTAAATAATCTATTTGTTTTTTTTGTATGGTGTTCCAATTATACTTAAATTAATAATTCAACCCAAGGATTCCTTCCAGTTCTTCATAAAAATGGTACCTGATATCTAGCTAGCTCTTGTCATGCAAGAAAAATCCAGATTTTCTTGTTTAAACTCATACACTATATACCAATTACCTCACTTCCCAATATAAACTAGATTATTCACAAGAAAACTAAAATATCCTAAACTTTCCGATTAATTGCAAAATAAGCAAACAAATGATTTATAAAGGAATTAGAAGGGATAGTCAGCCGACCTCGTTGGTGTCAATCACCGGAATCGTTCGAGTGGCCGGAGTTGATTATCGCAAGCTCTCTGTCTCCCTTCCTCTTTCTGTCGTGCGAGAAGTAGGCCAAGAGCATGGAATGGGTCGGATAGTTGTAACGGTAGGGACTAGAGGCGAGATTCAGGTGGCGCGGAGGGCGTTCCTTGCCGTTGATCGGTCTGAAAATGCGGGAGGAGGGGCTGAGGGAAGAGGGCGAGATTTTTCAGGTGGGGGCGCGGGGGAAGGGCCGCTTCCTTTGGGCCGATTGGATCCGGTCTGAAAAATGCGGAGGAGGGGGCTGAGGGTGCTTTTGCAAGATCACAAGCTTCCTCTGCGACGTCCGCACTAGCTTAACGCTAAGCCGAGACAACAGAGGTGAAATGGCTGATGGAGAGCGGCGCTCAGGGAACGCAGCGGGAGGCGAGGAAGAAACGGCGCTGGCGTTCAGGTTGACCGGACAAGGGCAAAAAGGGACAAGGGCGAGATGGGCGAGGTGGAGGTCGGCGCACCATGGCGCTCCCGCAAGGAAGCGAGAAGCGGAAAAGGGAAACAGAAAAAAAAAAAAAAAGCAAGAAAAAACAAAAAAAAAAAGAAAAGAAATGAAAAATCTTGGCTTCTAGACCCATTCCGGTCGATTCGAAACCCCGGTTTGGTCTGAATTTTAATGATTTGGCTCAAATTTGCTTGGTTTTCGATTTTTCTTTCGCTTGAGTTTTCGAAAAATCGAATTGGTTTACGGGTCCAGTTTAAGCAATAATAAAAAGTACTAGCAGGTTAATTTCATTGGTTGAAATATAAAAATTTAGGTTTTTAAATGAAAATTCTACGAAAATTAACTTTTCGTGGTCGTTTCACATATTGAACCTCAAATTTTCAACAAACTTACTTAATTACACTAGTATTTTACCATCCTTGAAAAAAAAATAATAAAATACTAGCAGGTATAATTTCATTGGTTGAAATAAAAAATTTAGTTTTTAAATGAAAATTCTACGAAATTAAATTTTCGGGTCGTTTCACATATGAACCTCAATTTTTCAACAACTTACTTAATTACATATATTTTACACCTGAAAAAAAAAAACATTATATAGTCGCATGAGATTAATTCATCTTTAATTTTTCTAGATAAATAATGATTATTTTTAATTAATTTATTTTAATTTTTCCATGACTATCCATTATCTAAATAAAAAAACAAGATGAATCTCATTTTGAAGTTTATAACAATGTTTTTTCATAAATTGTTAAACTTAAAGGGTATCTTATGAGTTACCCCAGTGGATCAATAAGTAAAATGTTGTGTTGTACCTTTTTTTTTTATAAAGAAAAAAGAAAAAAAAAAATCCCATTTACATCCATCTATCGTTTTTGTCTAACGACGTCGTTACTTTTGTCCTCGGCTCAAAGAACAAGACAGAGGCTAGAGTGGAGGAGCGCAACCCGGCAGCCGACTCACGATCTGGTTAGCGTCTAGGGTTTCGTTTCTATCTTCGCTCACCTCCCATTTGATTACTCAATAGAGCTTCAATTTTGACTTCTCCTGTCGCGGGTAGGATTTCATATCTGCTAGTATACTTTCTTTTCTTATTTCATACCTTCCAATATAGCTGAACAAAACAAGGAGAGGGGAAATGGCGAGAAAATACAGCGATTCCAGTGACGACGATAGGAGTGTACATCGTCGTCGCGAGAGGAGGAGTGGTGATAAGGATGGAGGGAGAAACGGGGACCAGGAAGTTAGGGATAGAGAGGAAAAGAGGGAAAAAGATGTCCGAGAACGAGAGGAACAGAACGGATTGCAGGAAAGTTCTGATGAAGAAGGAGAATTGGTGGAGAGAGAAAGGAACGGGAGAGATGGAGATAGAAGAAATAGTGAGCGTAGGGTTAAGGATAAAGAGGATAGCCGAAGAAGGGATGAGAGCGGGCGTCGAAGGCGAGAAACTGAGGATAGAAGAAGGGAACACCATCGTTCAGATGAGATAGATGAAGATAGTAGGGTACATAGTAAATCAGAACGAGAGAGGGATAGGCACAGTAGATCAGGAAGAGAAAGAGAAAGAGAAAGAGAAAGAGAGAAGGAAAGAGAAAGGTATGATGACAGGCACAGAAAGCATAGGAACAGAGAGGATGATAGGGAGACTAGAAGACATAAGGAGAAGAATGAAATACGAGAAGATGGTGGCGGTGCAAAGGTAACTGAGGATTCAAAACCTCAAAAGACAGTATTAGGAGAAGGAAATTTGAACAATGAAGCAACGAATTTGGGCCGCAGTGGAGGGGTTTACATTCCTCCTTTTAAGTTGGCTCGAATGATGAAAGAGGTTCAGGACAAAAGCAGTGTTGAATATCAGAGGTTGACATGGGATGCCCTTCGTAAGAGTATAAATGGGCTTGTGAATAAGGTTAATGCCACAAACATTAAGAACATTATCCCAGAATTGTTCTCTGAAAATCTGATTCGAGGAAGGGGTCTGTTTTGCCGGTCATGTATGAAGTCTCAAATGGCTTCTCCAGGTTTTACTGATGTGTTTGCTGCCTTGGTTGCTGTTGTGAACACTAAATTCCCTGAGGTGGGTGAGCTTTTGTTAAGAAGGATAGTTCTGCAGCTCAAAAGAGCATATAAAAGGAATGACAAGGTGGGTTAATGTTATTGATTTTTTGATCTTTAATTTATTTGTTGGTCCTGTTCTAAATATATTTTTTATTTTTGCTGTATGAACAGCCTCAATTGCTAGCTGCTGTTAAATTTATAGCTCATCTAGTGAACCAGCAAGTGGCTCATGAGATTATTGCTCTAGAACTCCTTGCTGTTTTGCTCGAGAATCCCACTGATGACAGTGTTGAGGTAGCTGTGGGCTTTGTCACAGAGTGTGGATCCATACTCCAGGATGTGTCACCAAAAGGCCTGGATGGTGATTATGCTATTCTTCTTATATATGCTTCTGCGAGAAGTATTATTATGGTTGTAAAGTTGTTTTATTGTTTTTATTTAATATTTGTATGATTACAAACTGTGTTCTGCATATATCATGTATATCTGCTTGTATTTACATCTTGTGACTATTGCTTTTAGTTCAGTTGTTTAGTTTGGTTAGGGCGTTTACAATTTTTTTTTTTCTCATTGGACGGTGGAATAGTGGATTAAAAATAATGGTATCATTGTGAATTTATGTAATGTAGATATTTGGAAAAAAGGCCTTTGTACTCTATGAAATGGAGGAGTGTTTTACTCATGGGTGTGGCATATTCATGGTAGCTAGTGGTTTTGTAATTGTTGGCGGTTCGGACTGTTGATGGATTGCGTGATAGTGTGATTACTTGCTTCTCAACTGAAAGCTGTACACAACATGGAACTGCAGATATTTTGGGTTTCTGTTTCCTCTTCTGAGAAATTAGGATAAATGGCTCTATTTTGTAATTTCTATTTGCTGCCTTCAAATTCTTGTTCTCAGTGTCCAATGGATTAATGCTGCACTTGGAGCAACTTACATCAGAAAAAATGCAGTTTCTTTTCTGCCATCCTTTTCTAATTTCTTGCGCTGTTATTTTCTTTTGTTGTTTTTTGACACATGATTTTTGCTTTTGCAGGAGCTTTTGAACGATTTCGTGGAATTCTTCATGAGGGAGAAATTGACAAGCGGGTGCAATTTTTGATTGAAGGCCTGTTTGCCATTAGAAAAGCCAAATTTCAGGTGCATTTTTTTTTCTCTTTAATGATTGTGTTTATGATGTTATATATATGTCATACAATACTTAAACTGCTTATATGAATGTATGCAACTTCAGGGGTATCCTGCGGTTCGTCCAGAGTTGGACCTTGTAGAGCTGGAAGACCAGCTAACACATGAGATATCGCTTCAAGAGGACATAGATCCTGAGATCAACCTTGGTATGCTTTAGAACGTAAATTTGCAGTTATCCAGTGTAAGTAATTAGGTATTGTTGTATAATGTGGTTAATGCATTTTGTTGTATTTGTTCAGATATCTTCAAACCAGATCCAAATTTCCTTGAGAATGAGAAACGCTATGAAGAATTAAGGAAAAGCATCCTTGGTGAGGAGTCTGAGGAGGAAGAAGGTTCTGATGCAGTTTCAGGTGATGAGGATGAGGATGATGAGGAGGAGGAAGATGAATCTGAGGAAGATGACGAAGAGCAGATGCAAATAAAAGACGAGACTGAAACTAATCTTGTAAATCTTCGGAGGACAATTTACCTAACCATTATGTCTAGTGTGGATTTTGAGGAGGCTGGCCACAAGTTACTGAAAATCAAACTTGAGCCTGGACAGGAGGTAAGTAATTAATCCTTAGGTTGCATGTAATGCTCTACAATCAATACCATCCATGTTAGGCATATAGTCTGATGGTAACTTAATATTTAATCATATTAATTGGAATCTAAATATAGACATTCATACTACTATAGTAAGTGCTGCCACTTGCTACTACAGCTTGTTCATGCTACAAGAGCATGAGTTTGGTCATTTTGCATTTTATTTTTAGTTTCTTTTTTGTTAGACGAAAGGGGTAGATTAATTCAAGGCTACATTAGATTGATCACTTGTAATATATTGAGGGGTTTTTAAATATTATCAGGTAGCAAGGGGATGCCACACAGTTTACAGTTTGTCAATCATTTTCAAGAGAGAGAAAAAAAAAAAAGTTTATGATAGCTTTTTACATGCACTAATTGCGATCTACTAAACCAAAAGTCAACATATTTAGCCATCTAACTTTTAGTGCTGAAAGCGGACTATTATCTGAAAGTTTGTTATTCTTTTCTTCAGTGAATTCCAATAGCTAGCATAATGGATTTAACCCAATACTTTTTTTTTCTGTACAAGAATATCCTTCCTGCCCCAGATGCACCTCATAGGAACCCTGAGAAATGCCTAGGACCAATAAGCTAATTCGCTTCATAATTCATTTTAGTAGAGCAAATTTACCAAATGGGAAATCTACCTTAAACACTGTAGTGTGAGTACAATTACTACTTTCTGTTGCTATGCAGTGGAAGTTTGCATTTTCTTTCTCATGTTCTTGCATGCTTCACTATTTCCTCCTTAGGTTTTTAGTTTGTTTTACCGGGTTTCTGGCATATGTTTTTATGGATGATCAGATTGGAATAATCTGATTTGACTTGACATAAGAATAGGTTTACATTCTGTTATGTCATTTAGCTTTCCGATGATTTTATGTTGGCCTTTTTTTAATATATTACTTGCCAACTGATCATTTTCTCCCATTGTCCTATGTAGATGGAACTATGCATTATGCTCTTGGAATGCTGCAGTCAAGAGAGAACTTACCTACGGTACTATGGTCTTTTGGGGCAGCGGTTTTGCATGATCAACAAAGTCTACCAGGAAAATTTTGAGAAGTGCTTTGTTCAGCAATATTCCATGATTCATCGGCTAGAAACAAATAAGTTGCGTAATGTTGCGAAGTTTTTTGCTCATTTACTTGGTACCGATGCCTTGCCTTGGCATGTGTTAGCCTATATCCGCTTAACTGAGGAGGACACCACTTCTTCCTCACGCATATTTATCAAGATTCTCTTCCAGGTAATTGAATAGAACTATTTTGATATCACATCTATTTCTTTTTCCTTTCGTGGTTTTACCATGCATGGTGTTCTTTATATGGCTTGTTATAACGAGGTGGGTTAAGTGTTGGGTCTTTCCAACTTTTTTCTGAAATTATAATCACAACCCAGATGATAAAACAATAGGTAGGAAAAGAATTTGTATGAGACATTTGAAATTTGTTGTGAAAGTCAAATATAGGATAGAAATTGCATGTGTGGTTTTAGAGAAAGAAGCATAGGGAAAGAGAAAGAGTTAAAGAGAGTGAAAACGGGGAAGAAAGAAGTTACAACTATAAAATAGATATTGAGGGGGTAGAAATTAATCCAATGATGATCCAAAGCAGCCTGGACGTGGTGGAGGGTACATGTTATACTGTTTATTATTGATGATGAGCCAGAGGATGTCTGATGTTGGTTGAACATGTTAAATAAGCATCGCCTTGGTCACCAACTAAAGTATGGTGATTATCATTGAGCTCAGTCTGCTTGATGCTGAGTTGTGAGAGAAAATAAATTTCAATGTAAAATCCTGAGATGTTTTCTTATATGCGTTTGCATGTGAAATCTAGGGTTACAGCAGAACATTTTTATCTTGTATCTTGTAGGTTAGAGCTAATCTACGATTTTAATTTGTGCTTGCTGCAAGGGTAGAATTTTTATTCATTTTTATGTTATATGTGCATCACTTTTGTCCTAGAACATTTTTATTGAGGAACAAACAAAAGCCTAAAGAAAATTTACTTGGGTAGAAACTGGATGGTGTTTAACTGTTATTTTTGTTGCTTATGGAGTTCAACTTTGTACTGTCTGGTGCAGGAGTTGTCAGAGCATCTTGGCATTCGTACTTTGAATGAGCGCCTTACAGATCCTGCTATGCAAGACTCATTTGAATCTATTTTCCCCAGAGATAACCCCAAGAACACCCGCTTTTCCATCAACTTCTTCACATCCATTGGTCTGGGTGGCATAACTGAAAATTTGCGCGAGTACTTGAAGAATATGCCTCGGCTTATCATGCAACAACAAAAACCTGTCTCAGACTCTGACCCAGATGATGAATCTGGAAGCTCTGATTCATCAGATTCAGATTCTGGTTCAGAATCAGAATCAGAATCGGATTCTGGTTCAGATTCATCGAGCTCAGAGTCAGATGAGGATGAAAGACACCGGAAGCGAAATAGGAGAAGTGACAGGGATGATAGGAGCAAGAAGAGGAGGAGAGATTAGGGAGTCTTTCTGCTGCTAGGTGAAAAACTTTATGTTATAAATTTTTTAGATTTTTTTTTTAAAAGCAATCATGTAAATAGGAGTGTTTTCTACAAGCCCTCTTTACATTAGAATCTGTGCAAGTTAACATTTTGTTTGTATTCCAAAGTAGTTGTTGACTGCCCACCCTGTACTTTATGTTGCATTATCATATTATTAGCAAGAAAATTTTGGATTTGTTTAAGAGATTGTTGCTTAGATACTTGAAAGATAATATATGGCTGCACTTTTGAATTAATTGAAGTAATAAGAAACTTTGTTGAAAAATATAATTGCTGTGTATTTGAAAGTTTGTCTTGCGGATGGATTCACCTTTTGTTACTCTCTCTGAAGCCTGTAGTAGCTTTAGCTGTGTCCTGTTTGGTAATTGACCGTCGTCCGTCGAAGTTGAAGGCTGAAGTTAACTAGCTGGGTAATCTGATGATTATGGTTGAGACTTGAGACCTTCTGTCACAAAAGGAACTAACATTTAATCAATTCAAACTGTTGATATAACAATTTGGTTGGATAATATTATCTTAGAAGGCAAAAAATGATAAAAAAAAAAAGATAAGTAAAAATTAAAAAATATATATATTGTTTAAGAAAAGAGTTTGGTTGTTCAATAAAAAAACGATTGGTTTCGTCTTAAACTTAAAAGGTTAAAAAAACAAAAAAAAAAAAAGTTTTTGCCCAAATGGTGGCCTATCAACAAGAACAGTCCACGCGACGGAATACCCTCGTTAAAAAAAAAAAAAAAAAAAAAAAAAAAAAAAAAAAAAAAAAAAAAAAAAAAACTGTCCGCGCATGAAAGGGATGACACGCGCGGGCATGGACGGTTTATTACTTTAACTCATACGCTACTGCCATCAAAGTTTGCGTGTGAATTACCCCGAAAAAAAAAAAAAAAAAAAAAAAAAAAAAAAAAAAAAAAAAAAACTGTCCGCAGCATGAAAGGGATGACACGCGCGGGGCATGGGACGTTTATTACTTTACTCATACGCTACTCATCATGTTCGTTGAATTACCCGTCCTGCTTGGGCACGCGACAGATTGAATGGTCGGTTGGATCCAATCGGGACGGATCAGATAAAATATTAGTATGATTTTTCAAAAAAAAAAAAAGATAAATATTTAAAATTTTTTCAAATCTTAAAGGAATTATAATTTTGATTTCAATGAAAATATTAATATTTTAAAATAAATAGGTATAATAAAGATGATAAAAAAAGGTAGCGTAATTGCAAGAGAGCCACAATAATATTTGTTAAATCTGATGAATTTATTAAAATTATACAATGATTATTTTGTCATTTATTTAATTAAAGAGAATTACTTCTATTGCTTTCCAATTTATTTTTTCTTTAATTTTCCCACATATTTTTTCATAAAAAAAATAAATTGCTGAACAGACGTTAAAAATCAGTGAAATGACAAGCAATTGAAATGTATTTTTTTAAATGAAATATTAAATAAAGGCAAAATAGTTATCTATCATTTTAATAAATTCATTATTCTCAATTTAATAAATATTGATCTGATAATAACGGTACTTTAAAAAAATATATATTAATAACATTTTCTATGTGTCACAAAGTGGACTCTCCTCTTTTAATTGTCTTAAATTATTTCTCTTTCACAAAATGGAGCAAAGTCATTTTGATTAATTTCTTAATTGTGTTATTATAGTGTTGTTTAAAATCTTATTGTTACTTTTTCCATTTAATTCATTTTTGTTGGAAGTAATATCTAATCATACCTACAGAGAGAGGCGAAAAATTTTGATTATGATTAAGTCTTGAGCTGAATTACATGGTCCATGATAATAAGGCTCATATACAGTTGATTTACACCAAATATCTAATATCAATATTCGATTGCTAAAATAAAAAAATGTGGATAGAATTAATTGTTCAAATTATTTAATTAATTTATTTTAATTTGAAAAAAAAAAAATTTGTAGGATGGACATAGCATATATCGGACTGGATTTTACATTATTCGCTTTTGCCTCGATTGTTATGGCACTCATCTTACTAACTAAACGAAGCGGATTTTATCCGACTCTAACGGAATGGACACTTATCGGGTCGGACAAAATACCAACCCTGAATGAAACGTTTCGCTTTTTATTTACGTTTTTTTTTTTTAAGTCAGCGCGTGGCTTAGAAAGCGAAAACATTTTTGTTTTGTGGAAAGGGAAAAGGCCAAAAAAAAAAAAAACAAAACACGACGCCGTTTCATTAAGTCATCCTAATTCCTAAGCAACAAAGTAATCTCCCCTGTAAATATGGTCTTTTCCGTGCCTTAGGTTAAAAACCGACTGTTTATCATTAAAAAACCGACATGAACGGTTTCTCTAATTAACAACAAATTTAAAGAAAAAACAACAAAGAAAAATAGAAAGCAGACGTTGTAGTTCCTCTTCAAACGACAAAGACCAACCTCTCAAACCTCGTTTTCTTGGTTTTGTTTGGCCGGTGGTGCCACCATTAGTAACTAGTAAGCAGGAGAAGTAAAATTAGTAGTTGTAGCATTCTCTTATTAGTTATTAGTTTTATTTACCAACTCCAATTTCAGATCCAATGAAGAATTCAAGTTCGAAGACTGAAGATTGGGAGGTGAGGGCAGGTGGCATGCTTGTCCAGAGAAGGGAAGCTGATGATGATGGTGCTGTTGATGGGCCTTTGATTACGATCAACTTCTCTCATGATTCTTCCCAGCACGAAATCCATGTACCTGCGCAATCTACTTTTGGTAATTCTTTGTTATTGTTATTACTATTTTCCTTTTTTGGTTTTTGTGTTCTATATTGTTGAATAAGAAAAATGTGGTTTCCGGTTGACTAAATTTCTCTCAATACTAATTTTTTGCATGTTAATTGGTTTTTAGACGTTATTTAGGTTTTCTTAGAATTGATTATTGGTTTAAAACGGTTGCCTTTATGTAGAATCCTATTAGAGTTCTCCTGAGATATAACTTTTGATCATGGTGTGAAATTGGGGATTGGTGCGGGTTTTTTTTGTTATAACCTTTGAGATTGTGGTATTTTTTTTCACTGCATATTGATAGTTTGCTTTCCAATTTCTTAAAGGTTTAGTTGTTTCCTATTAGATTTTATCTTTTAAAGTGTGTTTTTGAGGTTCTAGTATTTTGTGGTTGGTTTTTGTAATTCCTGCTTTTTTGTGCGTTGTTGCTAAAATTTCATTGTGGAGTACAAAAAATGCTTAAACCTACTACAATCATCCGATTTAGACATTATTTGCTTTTTAATTTCAGGGTATATGAAAGAACTTATTGAACAAAAAACGGGTTTGGAACCAAAAAAGCAAAAGATTTTATTTAGAGGAAAAGAAAATGAGGATAGTGAGTATTTGCATGAGGCAGGTGTGAAGGACAAGTCGAAGGTTTTGGTTTTGGAAAATGTAGTGAGCAAAGAGAAGCTTGAGGATATGAAAGAAAGTGAGGGGACTTCAAAGGCTGAGTTGCAGGAAAGCGAGGAGATGTCAGAGAGCAAGATGAAGGAAAATGAAGAAAATTCAAAAGCTTTTCAAGCTATTGCTGAAGTAAGAGAAGAGGTTGATAAGCTCGCAGAAAGAGTGAGTCCATGTCTGCTGCAATGGCTAACTAACCAGGAAAGTTTTTATTCTGCATACTGCTTACTGGAGTTCTCATTTTTTTAGGTCGCGGCCTTAGAAGTGGCTGTGAATAGCGGCACCAAGATTGCGGAGGAGGAATTTGTAATATCAGCGGAGTTATTAATGAGGCAATTGCTGAAATTGGACAGTATTGAGGCTGATGGAGAAGCGAAGATGCAGCGAAAGGCTGAGGTTAGTATTTTATTTTGTGCCATGGAACTTGTATTTATTTGAGTTTGTTCATTATATTATCTTGACGATAATCCTACTTAATGATTTTCAACTAAAACGTGGTCAAGAGTACTGTTTATATCTCCTGTGGTGAAGATAAAAAATTTTCAATTTGAAAATGTGGTGGTCAAATGTTAAAAATTGCTTTGCCTCCAAAGTTCGAGGAAATGGAGCCATTTAGAAAGGGGAGGTAGTGAGTAGTGGGCATGCTAGGTACAGTTGTATTAGTATCTTATTTTTTTTCTCTCTTCTTTTTCTTTCTGTTTGTATTGGTATCTTATCAAGCATCTGCAAGATCTTGTAGGATACTAACATAAGGCTACTAAATGAGCTTAGAAACATTCTTTTGGGTGTATTAGCCCTTTCTTATTCTTCTCTCCTTTATATATTTTCCTGGCTGATGATATGACCTAATGATCCAGTGGATTAATCTGGTGCTTATACTGATAACATAAGCTGTAATTTATTCTTTAGGGCTTTATATATAGTGCTTAAAAATTTCCTTAACACGTTTTTACTTGTGAAGATTACAACCTGCAAGCCTGAAAGAAAGTATGCTGAACTTTCCAATTTCTGATTGAATGAATATTCATTATTGGTTTTCTCTTTTATTGCAAGCCTAAAAGCTATATTTAATCTTCCCCTTTCAGCATTGATGTTGTCTTTATAACTTCATTTCTACTGTTTCTATCCTGTGTTTTACCATTTATATCTCTCTTGTTCCTATATTTTGTGAGAGGTGTACTCATATATATAATATGTATGAATGATGCTTTTCTCTCATCCTTCTTAAGTAATCTCTTTTGTCTCTTCTTCCTACCCAAAATAAATAAATAAATATTATTCCTTCCAAAGCTTCATGACCTTAATGTGCATGCAAATTTATTGTAACTGGGGGAGATTATTATTTTTTATATGCTGGCTGAGAATTATTTACATTGTCATTTAATACTGCTGTCTAAACTTATTGTTGCCCTGAGTAGGTACGTCGTGTTCAGAACTACCATGAGGTGCTGGACAATTTAAAGACAAACAATTCAAAGCCATTTAGCAATAGCAGCAATGCTGTGTCAGTGACAACTGAGTGGGAGACCTTCGACTCTGGAGTAGGAAGCTTGAATCCACCTCCAGTGTCATCTTCAACAAGAATTACTCAGGACTGGGAAAGATTTGATTAGGAACCTGCTGATCTAGTTCTAATCTAAAGAGCTCTGTGGAATATATAATATTTAGAATGTAGTACTGATATTTACGGTGCTACGGCTCATTTATATTGCAAACTTTGCTTTCTTGACTAGAGCTCTTCTCTATATTGCTGTATCCTTTTGGATTAGTACTTGATTTATTATTAGAGTAAAATTATTAAAATTTATTGTTTCATGACTGTACATTTAATATAGAAAATATTTAAAATTATGTGAAACATATACTCGATTGAACTCATAAATCACTTGAATATTAGTAATATTCGAAACTTGATTTGATTTGTGTCTTTGGCTGAGTGGAGTTTGAGTAATTTCTGAGTCGAACCTTGCTAACAACGTTTTAAGTGGTTATAATTTTCTTTTTCCTAAAAAAAGTATATGTTTTTTAATACTCGAGCTGGAGCTAATATTCAGGTTAAGGCTATAGCGATTCCAATTGTCGAATCCTAAGCTAAATGATTATAATTGTCGAGGGTATAGCAAAGAACATGTGAAGTGTAAACAATTTTCCGAATTCCAATTAGGAATTGGATTATTGAGACTTGATTTAGAGATTTAAAAAAACAAAAATGAAACAGAACCAAAAAAAAAAAAAGGCTCAGACCATCCAGAAAAGTAGTACCGTGTAGAGAAGGGTTGTCGTTCGTCACTCACTCCTGACCAGATATTAAATCAAAGAAACCACTTGCGTTTGTGACTTTGCGTTGGGCTGCTTGCTAATGTTTAATTCTTGGTAAAATAATCAGGGAGGCAATAACTACAAACGCTCTTCTTCTGACTCTTCAGCCCAATGCCAACTCCAAGAATAAGCCATCCCTCTGTGGACCGCTGAGGGAATTGATGACAAGTCATCAGATGGATTCCCATCTTTTTATCTTATTATTATAATTTTGGCATAAGAGTAGGGTTATACCAATCAATGTGCTGTTTGGTTTATTTATTCAAAATCAGCAGAAAGTTGATAATGATTGTTAATAGTTTGTAACTGATAGTTGATGGCAGTTAGTTAATAGATATTAATGTTTTATAAAATTTTGATATTGGTTACTGTTAAACTGTAAAATAATCATTAATAATATAATTGATTTTTTCATACATTATAATGTACAATATAGATTTTTTATTTTTAAGGTGAATATATTATTTTTTATTTCAATATATCATATAAATAAAAAATAATGATTAAAATTTCTTAAATAATATTTAGTAAATATTATTATTTTTAACTAACTATAAATAAAGTAATAAAAAAATATTAATTTGAAGATTTTATTAACATTTATTTTTCTGAAATTAATGGAGTCCAAGCTAACAGCTGATTAAAAATCTTATCAAACATCTAGAAGTTAGGTATTGGTTAAATCAGGCTGCTTGAATGAGTTGAATAAAATGAAAATTGAAAAGATGCATTAAAATACTTTTTTTTTTTTTTTTTTAAAAATCTTATCAAACATCTAGAAGTTAGGTATTCCGGTTAAATCAGCTGCTTGAATGAGTTGAATAAAATGAAAATGGAAAAGATGCATTAAAATACTTTTTTTTTTTTTTTTTGTTGCTAAATGTATGCCGCAATTTATGTTGAATATTTTTTTTTTTTTTTTTGTGCTAAATGTATTCCGCATTATGTTGAATATTCGAACATAAACTAATGAGAATATACAATAATGAAGTGAATTTCCGAAGGAAAGTCATCTAATATTACTTATTGGAGAATTATCAAGTTTTAATAATTCATCCCTCCTGTAATTTTTATCTTGATTTGACGTGCACATAAATTATGAAAATGTAGTTAATATAGTTAAATTATAATTTTTACTTTATTTTTTCCTAATATGCCTTTATGTTAATATCCATTAAAATTAAATTATTCATATTAAATTATTTTTGAAATTAATAAAACATTTGATTAAATAAAATTTATAGAAGACTAAAAGTTGATATTTTACTTTTGTTTATATCAGGATTTAATTAATTGTAATGTAATGTTTAACCATTATATTTATTAACAAAGAAGCATAATAGATAAAGATAAAATAATAAATTTTAAATATTATTCACTTTTAAAAAGGAAACATGACAACAATTTAGTATGAAAAAAAAGGAAACTAGGACAAAAATAACGAATATATATACACACACACTAGAGTAGATTTTTTTTTTTTAGAAAAAATGTTTAATATAAAATTATTTAGAAGGAATTTATTTATTTATTTTTATTTATTAGAAATGAAATCACGAGAATAACATTATGAATTATAAAATAAGAATAATTTTTCCTTCAAATAACATCAACTAAATGGCGGAAAACTCTATAGTGGGAAGGACATGAAATTGAAACCTCCCACTTCACATTCAATCCACATAATTAGGTAAGAAATAATATATTTCTTGGTATTTAGTTTGCATAAATTTGGCAAGGTGTGCTCCAAAAAGTAATTTCACATTTTTTCAATTATAAACAAAACTTTTTAAAAATGTCTTACAATTTTCAAAAAAAAAAAAAAGAAAAAGAAAACCTAAATATAAAAAGCATGAATAATCCATTGACCTGTCTATATATATACACAACAACAAATATATTTTCTGAAAAATGAAAACCTCATCTGCACTCTCACAAATTAATGGTGATACCTCTAGCACCAGTACCATAAGGAGATGGTGTAATTTCCTCTCCATATAAATACATATTATTATTATTATTATTATTATTAATATTACCATGCTTAGTGGGGTCATATTTTTCTCCATCACCCCAAAGAGCATAAGCTTCCTCTCCATGAACAGCATCATCTCCGATCAAAAGGTGGCCCTCAGGCATTCTTAAGGGTATTAATAACCTTATAGCTAAGAGAATCAAAGTAGTAGAAACTACATTCCATGCTATTATAAAAGTGGCAGCAGCAAGTTGCTTCAAAAACTGAACGCCGCCATTTCCACCGTAAAATGCTCCTCTTGTTTTCTTTGGCAGCACAAGTTCACACAGCTCTGGCTCTGCTAGAAGTCCTGTCAGGAGCCCACCCAATAGCCCAGCCACTGCATGTGTGTGAAACACACCTAACGTATCATCCACCTAAAATGGAAATAAAATGTCAATTATTGAAACTAAAATGCACTCTCTATCAAAACTACGATTCCTCGCAATATTGGAAGAACGACGTTACTCATAGGAGATATACCAGTTATTAAACTAATAGTAACAAAGCATGCTAATTCATATGTTACATGTACATGCTCCGTAAACGATATAAAATCCCGCAAGATCTAATTTTTCTAGTATTATAATTTTAATTGTGAAGCATAAAACATCTGGTCTTGTAAAATTGACAAGTGTCTAAGCACTAAAACACCAACTTGCCAAAATCATGAAATGATTTGTATGGAAGACTTGTGTACTTTTATTTTGATAGTGGTCATGAATCACGATCAGCCATCATCTTTGACTTTTATCCTTTTACAAGTACAAATAATATCAAATCTATTTTATATTATAATTTTTTAATTAATTATTGAATAAAATACGTTGATTAGAGATGCTATTCTGTTTTTGCCATTATTTTATCATTATTATTATTTTTTTTTAGAAGACCATTATTTCATCATTGAAAGTTAGCGGAGCATTTGGTATTAATAGTCAGAAGCATAAGAGTATACAAAGACAAAGACTAATGCAAATTCCTAATCTGAAAGCTGGGTTTTGTCAACAGAATTTTGGAGGAAAGAGATACTGCCCGCTGGATGAAGTCATCTTCCACCCACTTGTCCATTTGGGTGAGGAAGATCCACTTTAAGAAATTTCTTCTTATTTATATAAATTATTTCGTGGGATATTCTTGGTCAACATTTTATACTTAAATATATATAGTGAGGAAAGATCCACTTTAAGAATTTCTTCGGTGGTATTGTAATATAGTTTAATTGGATTTCGCTGGGAGTATTCTTGGTCACATTTATAACTTAAATATATAATATAATATATATATATATATAATATATATTAATATAATATATTATATATAAATGAATGGGAATCCATGATAATAATTATATAAGCTTAACATATATTATTAGTCTTAATTTGTGGCTAGGCTCAAGTTGAAATTCTGAACAACTTTCAGAAGATGTGTGTTGAAAAGTAGAATTGATTGAGACAACTTGATCATCTTGCTTTTGTATTTACTGTTGAAAATTGCCTAACTTTAAATCTATTTTAAGCTAATAGAATATATAAATGAATTGGAATCCATGATATAATTATATAAGCTTAACATATATATAGTCTTAATTTGTGGCTAGCTCAGGTTGAAAATTCTGAACAACTTATCAGAAGATGTGTGTGAATTGATTGAAAGACAACTTGATCATCTTGCTTTTGTATTCTACTGTTGAAAATTGCCTAACTTTAAATCTATTTTAGCTAGATAGAGTCAATGATGTGATTTTTGTATGTGTTATGGAGGGATTTTCTGTGATAAAATTTTAGAATTTTTATTTTAATTTTCATAAAATTTTATGAAATCTATTTTTTATACTTTCATATTTAATAGAAGAGAAAATATTCAGTCACTTTTTCTAAATTTTGTTTATAGAATTTATTATAATTAAATTAAATCTTTCTAACAAACAAAGAATAGGAGGATTCAGATTCAAATCTAAAAATATTATATATTATCATATGTAACACATGGAAATAAACAAATAAAAATAAATAATAAATACCTTCTGTAGCAGAGTAGACTTTTTGTGAAGAACCATCATAGAGACCCATGGAATGCTTCCTGATAGCATTCCCATCACAATAGCCGCCCAAGATTGAACCAGCCCTTCAAATTTTAATTCATAAATTAAGAACACCATAATTAATTTCTATAATTATCTCTGAAACAATCTCTTTCTAAATTGTCACTTTCATCACAAGCAATTACCTGCTCCTGGAGTAATGCAAGCCAGTCCTGTCATCATACCCTGAACAGCTCCTATAACCGAAGGTTTACCGAAGAACAAGACATCCATTGTTGTCCATACAAGCAAGCTTGTAGCTGCGCTTATGTTGGTATTTAACATTGCAATTGAAGCATCAATATTAGCTGCATATGGTGCTCCGCCGTTGAATCCTGACCACCCCATCCACAGCAATCCTGCTCCGGCGAGCATCAGCAATACATTATTCGGTGGAAATCTCTCCCTATCGCTCTTTAGCCTTGGACCAACCTGTGTTCAATCATATGTCCGAATTATTAATGATTAATGATTCATTGGGCTTCATTAATTAACAGAAGCTAAACCCGAGCCAATATGCTTCCTTCCTTTATTTCTAAGTAATCAAAAAGACATATTTTATATACGTACCCAGTAAGCTGCAGTTAAGCCTGAAATTCCTGAAGAGAGGTGAATAACATAGCCACCGGAGTAATCAATAACACCCCATTGATAAAGAAATCCACCGCCCCAGAGACTAAAAGCACCAACTGTATATGAAAATATAAGCCACAAAGGCACAAAAGCCATCCAAGCTTTAATATTCATGCGACCAAGAACAGACCCAGCTAACAAAATAAGTGTAATAGCAGCAAAAGTGAATTGAAAGTAAACAAGCGTAGCCATAGGGTAATAAGGCTCGACAGTCTCCATAACACCGTTTTCATTTTCATGTTTACTTTCAGGAATTCTAGCTCTAGCTGTAAGATACTTTTGACCTAAAGCAGGCGCACCTTTACCCCAAAAAGGCAAAAGCTCATCGCCAAAAGCCATCCGAAAGCAGAGAAGAACCCAGCAAATAAGGACGGCGGCGAAAGCGTAAAGCGCCATGAAAGCGGAGTTTACAGCCCATTTTTTCTTGACAATACTGGCGTAGAGGATAACAAGTCCCGGCATGCTTTGGATAGCTACGAGAACTGAAGCTGTCATTTGCCATGCGTTGTCTCCTTTGTTTAGCCATGAAGGGACTGCTGGAGATACCTCTCTGTAGGCTTCCGAGATATTCATGGCGGCCTCCATAGACTGCTCTGTGGAGTTACGGTTACCTCTCTGTAAGGCTAATAATAATATTGAGTCGTATGTTTTGCTAGAATATACATACATATACTCGGGGACGATGAAACTGCAGTGAAATTGGAGAGGCGTGGTCGGTCAACGTGTGGGACATGTGGGGTGCTTGTAAGTTGTAAGAATATTCCAAGTGTGGACAACAGAGTACGCGAACGTTTGCCTTAACCAAAGGTTTGATATGTTTTTTAGCAACACCATCTGGATTAGTAGTAGTAAAGTAAACTTAAGATGGAGAGATTTTTGTCACTGACAAAATTATTAATAGAAAATTAAAATTAATTAATAAGACAGTACTGTACATTAAAGAAATTAAATAATTTTTGTTAATTAAGAGTTTTCTTTTAGTTTGTTAAAATGTCTCCAGGCTTAGGCCGAATAGAAAATCATTTGATTTTTATTCTAATATACAAAAGAAAAGATAACAGTTTCGTTAAAAATAATAAGGTTGGTTGGAACTTTGACTTTCCAACTAGTTTGCTACATTATACTTCTAGTATTATATATATCGATGTGTTTATGCATTAAGACCGGAAAAAAATAAATGTCCAAATATAGACTTGGCTGAAAATTTTGACTTTTGAAGAGATGCGATCGACGTCATTGATTTAGGAAAGAAATGTAAAGTACAACCACGTGGTTGTACGGCCTTGATTTTCTTTGGACTATTTGATTAACTTATAACAACACAAAAAATGAAATTCATAATTTATTTCATTGGAAGAAAATATTTTATATTAATTAATAAAACTAACTATTAATGAGTATTAGTTACGAGAAAATGACCATAAGATAAAATTGCACAAAAGATAAACATTTCGTATTCAATTTGACTTTTATATTCGAAAGTTGTTGGTATATATAATTCATTATTCATTTGATCTCAGTTAAAAAATAAAAATAAAAATAAAAATAAAATAAAAGGACAACATTTTCAAAGCTCGTGAGGACTGCTAGGCTGCTGTCTATGATTTTACAAGCTAATTCCATGTCAAGAGAATCAAGTTATTGCAGCCTTTTACAATTTGAAGTTTCTGAGAAATCATTTGATGAGAAAGATTAGGATTTAATTTAGCATTGACAGTGACTACCGTTTAAAAATTCCAAAATGCTTGCTTGTGGTTGACCATTTGGCTAACAATAAAGATGATTGGCTCATGCTTACTTTGCACGATAAGAATATTGACTTGTTGAATTACAAGAATACCCTTTTTAAATTTGGGCTGGAAATGGGGCACTATAGGAGGGAAAAAAATATAGTTAATATTTACTATTTATGTTGCTAAATAATATTAAACCTATGACCTTTGTTTATCTAATTATGTTGCCAATAAGCTACTTAACATTGTTGTGTAAGAAATAAGCAAAAGATATATATATCGGTAGCTATAATAATAAAATATCTTGTAATTTTATTTTCAAAATTTTTAAATTTTAAATAAATTAAAAATTCAAATTTTCGATCTCATAAACCTAAGTGCCGAATAATTTTAATTTAAGTCCGAATTTACAAAGTTGGGCTCAAGCCCATAATTATTTTTATGGAAATTCTGAAGTTAAGAGTTTGCTAAATTATTCAAGTATAAATAATATACATTAAATTGATTATTAAAAATATTACTAAAATTTAATTTACACATTTCAATCCAAACTATTATTTAAAGGGCAAAATGTTCTAGTGAAATCTTAAAATTTAAATGATAGAAGACCCTAGAAGTCTAGAACCAAATAACCCTTAGAAAAACATATCAAACCAATAGAAATAGGTTGAGAAACCTAGAATTTTCTATTGAATGAGACCAAACCCGAATTAGACCGAATCAAGATATAAATACTTTTTAGGATTTAGGAGAGAGAAACCCAAAATTTTTCTCCTCCCTCTATCATTGCCCGATTCCAGCGCCCCTCCCCCTTTCTTTTCCGTTTTCCGGCCAAAAAGCCATAGCTTTCGGTCTCGGAACACCCTAAAACCATCGTCTCATCGGGGAGAAGCTGATTGTGGTCTTGACTCGAGCTATAGTGACCTTGTAGAGGAGAAATCGAAGCAAGGAGCTTGGTTGATATGGCAATTGCGATTACGGCGAAGTTCACGCTGTTGTCGATGGTCTTGCGTGCGACAGAGGCTCTCGATCGATTCCTTGATGCTCGGTGACTATTTTTCCTCGGTTAATCGTTGTGGCTGAGCTCGCGTGATGAAACCACCGTGAATGGTGGCTCGCGGTGGCTGACAAGGCTTCTTCCGGCGAAGCCGGCTCGACAAATGTGAAAACCGGCGTCAGAAGTGAGCTCCTCGCTGAATTCCAAAGAGTTCGGTGTAAGCATTGCACATTTTCGGTGTAATTTAATTCCCGGCCACCGTATGTGGCAGGTCCGGTGGTGAACCATATATGCTTGTGGGGCCTGTGGTTTTATTGGTTTACTGTTATTAAAACAGGACAGAAAAAATAAATTTCAAATTTGGTTTTATTAGTTTACTCATATTAAAATAGGAGAGAGAAAATAAATTTTAAATTTAAATTTTGAGTCGCTTAAAAAAAAAAAATTGTTAAAGATAATCTGAATATTCTATGTGCAAAGATTTTTCTTGTGGGATGGGCTGTTGGCCTGGCCATAAATTTTATCATCATTAGGATCATCCTCTAATAGAGTTTGTCTTGTATTTTCCATCTTCCTTATTTAAAAACAAACAATTAAAAAGCCATTTGCATAATATTTTTATATAGTTTACACCTAAAACTTAATTTTAAAATTGAATAAGTAAAATTTTCCAAATTACACATCTACCCAATGATCTAATCTGTCAAAAGCCCATCAAAAATAGATCGCTCAATAATTTGCTTAATGCTCCATAGAAATTCTTAATCGAGACAGTAAAAAGTCGAGATTAGAGTAAAATTAATAGAAATATTAAAATAGAGTAAAATTATAAAAAATTTATAAAAAGTTGGGGCGATTTTACTACATTAGGCCATAAAAAATCGAAAATATCTTCTAGCTGTTGGCTTGGCATCCCATGGAAAGGAAACGTGTCCAATTTCGATTCATCTCATGAGGAAAAAAAGAAAAAAAAAGGGAAAATCAGTAGCTGGCACAGCCTTCCAGATTCCAATGTCCTGTTCTATTTTTTTGGAGCCATTGCACGTTTTCTAGGATTAGATTTTTTCTGTCGGTTGAAATTATTTGTTCAGTTTACATTTTTGTTTTTGGTGCAGTACTTGTTTCTCATTTGTTTTTTATCACCCGTAAACTATAGTCGCAATGAGGCTAGAAATATCCAAGCCAACATAAATTTGTGGGCGTAATGGAAATGAGGCCATTGATGCTTGTCTTTGCAGTTTGGGTTCTTTCCCATTACAGTTTTATTCTTTACCCTAATTTTGGGATTTGCTCCATCTTCCTCTGCTGGTCACCCACTTCAACCACATAAGTTATGTTACTCCTTTGTTTACATTTTTTTTTTTCAAACTTAAATCTTTGTGTAAAAAATTGTTTGTCTGTGTAATCTATGGAAATTGAGAGAAAACAATTATTTTCAGTGTAATATATCATTTTTGTAGAAAATCCAAATTAGAAATTTCATTAACGGAAACTATATATAAACATGAAATACAGATCAATATATTTCTATATTTTTATAGGAAATCTAATAATAAACAACTTATACAAATAATAAAAAAACAAAATAAACAATCTTAATTTGAAATATTTGATCGAATTAATAGAGCATAATATTTGTATTATAAGCGATTGCTTACTCCACTTTATGGTTATTCATGGCGATTGACTTTTTGGCCTTTCTACAAGTTTGACCTTATCACTTTCAAATTTTTTCCTTCTATTAGAGAAGAGATCTGTACTTCTTTCTGCATAACTATCTTAACAAGAAAATACCCTACACAAAATCATCACAATGGTAACAATAATAACTCAATCTAAATCTAAGAATAAAATCTCATTTCAGCAATAAAATTTTAATATTTGAGCAACAATAACTCAGATCTATGTAATGATTATTTGAAAAGAAAAAAAAAATAAAAAGGAAAGGGCATTTAGAACTCATCTCACGGAAAAAGAAATGAGAGCTTTTAAATTTTTATTACTCCTACAATAATAGTGTAATATATAGTTAAATGAAAATAAAAGAGAAAAATAAAAAAAACTATTGAGAACAAGAGAAGATTTTATATTCAATGTCATATCCATCTGAATTCATTTTTTCCCACAAGTTTTATTTATATTTTGAAATTTGTATGATATTCGCAATCTAAAATTTTTATTTTCATTTTTCACCCCACAAAGTTAAAGGTTTAATTTAATATATATAGCAATTCAAAGGTTAAAGTGCAATTAATCAAAGACTTTAAACTAATAATACCAAAAGAAATTAGAGAAATGACAATTATCTCGAGGAGATAGTGATATCCTTGGATAAGGCAAGAGGGTGTGTGTCCATATGCAAAGTTACTCTTGACTATATCCATTTGGTTTTTTCTGTATATAAGGAACTAAGAAGGTTCATACCACAACTCTCAAACTCTTTTCTGATTTCCAAAATATGCTCTTGTGATTTTGTTTGCATAGATCAGTAGTTATTTCATTTTCCTTATTAAGAAAAGGATTCATTAGTTGTGTTTCACTAAATACATGGAATCCGATATGCATATTCCACGAACAGTGATTCAAGATAATTATTTTCTAATTTAACATCATTTCATAATTGTTACTGGTGATGGATTTACCAATGTCAAAAAAGTGTTAATTGAACCCTCTTTTTTTTTTTTTTTCAGTGATTCAAGTAATTATTTTCTAATTTAACATCATTTCATAATTGTTACTGTGATGGGATTTACCCAATGTCAAAAAAGTGTTTAATTGAACCCTCTTTTCCCTCTTTTTTTTTTTTTTTTGAATTTTTTAATAAATATATGTAATTTGACTAAATTAATCCATAAATTTTAATTTATTTATGTTTTTGACCCTTTTTTTTTTTAAAAAAAAATTTATCTTATAGTAATTGGCC